TTTACCCTATGACTTCCAGCAGGCCAGACAAGCCTCAAGAGACCCGGCCAAAGCGATGTGGCTGTGGTCGGGCATGTTGAGCAGCGTGGCACTTGGGGCCACTCCGACCAGATCAGAATTAGCAGCATAAATGCATAATCGTCGTCAATTCCAGTAGTGCCTACAACAGCAGAGATTCTCGAATCACATGGTGTTCAGCAGTGCTCTTAAGCAACGATCCCCAAAGTCTTATCAGATTATTATATCCTACTTCATACTCTCTTGGCCAGCGTTTGCAATGCACAGAGTTGTGAGATTGCTCCGCTGCTGCAGGCTCCAAAAAGGCCAAGCAGAAGTATCATGGGACTTGTGCTGGCGAGAGTTGGCAAAGATATGGAAGCGCCCGGGATTTGGGCAAATGAATCTCAAGCTCTGCGCAAAAGACAGAACGAGAATGCATGGTCCAAGTACTCGAAAGCTTGTTCATATACAGGACTCCAGGACAGTGATTTCTGTCCTGGAGAATTTGCCCAAATCGCTCGTAGTTATAATGTCTCCAAGCGCACCACCCCTTGCAACCGGAAAGTGCGGAAAGAAGTAGGAAGTGCGCAAAATGCGCACATCTTCTGCGTCTCTGCGCCAGGCTTCGAGCCACTGGCACCCAAGCCTCTCTCATCTCAAGGACTTCAAAACAGCCCGCTATTTGGGAGTCCGAGCAAGCATCTGCACACCTAGTCTGTCAGTGGTCCTGAATTCTGTGGAAAGAACTTCGGAAAGAACCACATACTGGCCAAATCGAGATCATGAATGCAGCGTGACTTTCACATGCTCCCGCTTCGGCCACGTAACGGCACGGAGCTGGAACGCCTCTGGCATGTCGGATAAATTTGGAAGTGGATGAAGGTTCGCTCCACTGGGAGTGGAAACGCGGACCTAGTGTCCTTTGAACTCGCAGTCTCAGCGTGCTTTATATCAGAGGTCTGCAGGGTGCTCGTTGGTGACACCCCATCGTCGGTCATCCGCTTGAACCTCGGACTGAAAGGCGAAGACAATGCTAGCACTACTAGATGTAACACCGAAGAGCATCAGCAACGGAATGATACCATGTACAACGAAAACTGGTCATAGTCGCAAGTGTCGTTTTCCTCCTCGTAGTCGCAGCAGCAGCAGCCGCAGCAGGAGCAGGAGCAGGAGCAACAGCCGGAGCGGGAGATAGGCGGGGGAGTAGAAGCAAGTAGTAGTAGTAGTAGTAGTAGTAGTAGTAGCAGTAGTAGTAGTAGTAGTAGTAGTAGCAGTAGCAGTAGTGGTAAGCTGAAGTAGTAGACGTACTCGTAGTCGTAGCAGTAGCAGCCGCAGTAGAAGTAGCGGTAGCAGTAGCAGTAGCAGTAGTCAGTGGTCAGTAGGCAGTAGTTAGTTGTTGTGGTGGTAGTAGTAGTAGTAGTAGTAGCAGTCGTGGTGGTGGTGGTGGTGGTGGTAGTAGTAACTAGTAGTAGTAGCAGCAGCTGTTGTAGCAACAGTAGCTCAGTTCTTAACAGCAGCAGCAGCAGCAGCAACAGCAGCAGCAGACATTGCTGTTGGTGCTGTTGTTGTTGCCGCTGCTGTTGCTGCTGCTGTTGTTGTTGTTGCTGCTGCTGTTGTTGTTGTTGCTGCTGCTGCGGCTGCGTGCCCGAGGCGGTTTGACTAGGAGCTGTGATGCATTCCGTTCCAAGCCGCAGGGTGCGGAAGAAAACGACATTGGAAGAAGATGTTGTGCAAGTTGCCGACGGTGAAGCTGCAGAGGGGCAAGAAACCAGTCGTAAAAATAGCCGACAACTTTGCCTTCAAGAGCACGCTACTGTCTGACTTGCAAAGGCTTGAAGCGGGATGGCCCGCCGCAGCATCAGCACGATAACCCCACCACAAATTGCGTCTCCTTACCGCTGAAGAGAAAAGAACCTTTGGGCCACAGGCGGAAGCTGAAAAAACATGTGTCACCACCTTCACCTTCGGGAAGTACAAGGGCAAGACTTTTGCGTGGGTGAAAGAGAATGCCCCCAAGTTATTTTATGCGGGTGTGACGTGAGCGGGACAGCTTCTTTGAGAAGCACCGCACATTGCAGCAAAGCCAAGTGGCAGAAAACATTTTTCCGGAGGAGGTCTTGGCTGCGACGTGACCATGAGAAAGCTGCGTTAGAGGTCATCGACTCGTGGAAGTCTGTGGGGCCCGAACACGCTGCTGTTTCCGATCAAATCACGGAAAGTGCGGCCAAAAAACGAAGGAATGTAGCCCGGTTCAAGAGTGTGCCTCCGGAGCAGCGGACCGAGGAATAAAATACCAAACCGGCGCGAAGAGCACAGGTACCGCAAGCACGCACTGGTTTGCAGCCCAAGCGAGCAAGTCCTCTGCAGTTAGTGGTGGCTGGTGGCCAAGAGAGAGACCGGCATCCTTCTGGACTTGAAGGGTGAGCCATGCCCCGTGATTAGTTAGCTGCCAACAGCATGGTATGGACGACACAACTGTTTTCGCACAACTGGGTACAGCAGTGGAGGGCGTGAGTCGGGCAAAGACATCACGGCATAGAACGTGTGCTACCGCTGCCTCAGGCCCATCATTCTCGACGTTCACATTGGTCCCAGGCCCTCAGATTCACCTTTGATGCTGTCACTTTGATCCCAGCCCCTTAAATCCACGTCTGCTGCTTGCACTTCGGTCCCAGGCCCTCAGATGCACGTTTGCTGCCCTCAGATGCACGCTTGCTGCTTGCACTTCGGTCCTGCTTTCACTTTGATCGCAGGCCCCCAGATCCACGTCTGCTGCTTTCACTTTGGTCCCAGGCCCTCAGATTCACGTCTACTGCTTGCACTTTGGTCCCAAAGCCTCAGATTCACGTCTGCTGCTGTCACTTCGGTCCCTCAGATCCATGTCTGCTGCTTTCACTTTTGTCCCAGGCCCTCAGATCCACGTCTGCTGCTTTCATTTGTGTCCCAAGCTCTCAGATCCACGTCTGCTACTCTCATTCCACCTGAAGACGAAAGTCTCATCGCACTCGATGAATGCTGATGTTTGATGCGGCAGTCGCCCGAAGATGAAGATGATTTGGCTTTGAGTATCTTTGCATCGACTGCCATCTTCATTCGGCCACGTTGAACCCAGGCCCTTGCACACGGTTGGGACAAGCTCTGCCTTTAAAAAACAGCATCTGGGTCAGGGTGAAGCCTTCCATTATCGCGTGGAATGTAAGGATGGCATACTGGGCCCCCAACTTCGTAAACAGCAAGTTGTTCATCGTCACCGGGTATCGCTGTTGGCCTATCACAATTGCGCTAATCATGCCATGTGTACGCCCGAATCACAGCTACATCAAGCGCATCACAACCAATTCACAACCAAATCACAGCCAGATGCAGCCAGCTCAGAGCCGACTCACA